AGAGGCAGTGTCCCCACAATAGCCCTAGTGTTGACAGGGATCCTGGGGTCCTTCTGGCCTGGGCAGAATGGTTTGGTAGCAGCTCAAGGAATTGTCTGAGAGGCCACATGCCCCAACGTGGCTGAAGGCCCTTGTCTTGGCAGTCCTTGCCTTGGTTTCCATGTTCAGTCATATTGAATTGCTTGCAGCTCCTCCCAGCGGTTGCCCCTGCTCCCCTCTGTGCCTGGGATCCTTTTTCTGCTGTCTTCACTTACTCTGAGTCCTCCTGTAGGTTTCAGCAGAGATATCACTGCTTCCAGGACCCGCCCCCGCCCCCCACCCTAGGTCTGGACGGGATGCTTTTCTCTCTGCACCTGACTTCCCTGACACAGAACTCACATTAGCATGGGCTGGTCCTCTGTCCCTAGCTGTGTCTCTGGCAGGGTTGCAGGCTTAGCGTCTGAGGAAGTGCCTGGCACATAGTAGGTCCTCATTGACTATATATTAATGGATTGATTGGGAAAACAATCAATTCCTTTGATTCTCTTTCTGCCTTAATTTCCCCTGGCCCCCCCCCCTTTTTTTTTTTTTTTTTTTTTTTAAGTAAAAGGCTTATTTCTTTAAGAGTGATTTTAGGTTCATAGCAAAATTGAGAGGAAGGTACAGAGTTTCCATCTACCTGCTACTCCTCCCCAGGCACAGCCTCCCCAGCTATCAGTATCCCTCTATAGAGGGAGGCATTTGTTACAATTCTTGAACCTACATTGACACATCATTATGAGGCAATGCCTAGAGTTTACATTAGAGTTCCTCTTGGTGTCATACATTCTTTGGGTTTGGACAAATGTCTAATGGCATGCATCCTCCATTACAGTATCATACAGAGTGGTTTCATTGCCCTAAAAATGCTCCATGCTCTGCCTCTTCCTCCCCCACTCCCCACTGACTCCTGGGAGCCACTGATCTCCCTGTTTTCCCTTTTTCAGAGTGTCATACCGTTAGAATCATAGGGTGTGATATGTCTCCTTTCATGTAAGTTTCCTCCATGTCCTTTCATGATTTGATAGCTCATTTCCTTTTATCACAGAATAAGATTCTTTTGTCTGGATGTACCCTCCCCTCTTTTATTTTTACAACAAGAAGAGAGGGCACTTTTCTCTTTCTGCCTTTAAAGGGCTATTGTTGGCCAGGCGCAGTGGCTCACGCCTGTAATCCCAACACTTTGGGAGGCCGAGGTGGGTGGATCACCTGAGGTCATGAGTTCAAGACCAGTCTGGCCAACATGGTGAAACCCCATCTCTTCTAAAAATAGAAAAATTAGCCGGGCATGATGGCAGGTCCCTGTAATCCAAGCCACTCAGGAGGCAGAGGCAGAGGCAGGAGAATCACTTGAACCCGGGAGGCAGAGGTTGCAGTGAGCCAAGATTGTGGCATTGCACTCCAGCCTGGGCGACAAGAGCAAAACTCTGACTCAAAAAAGAGACTCGTTGGCCAGACAAAGTGTTGGGGTGAATGGCTTAGTTTTCGTTGATCATCCCCCAAGTTTCAGGTCTGGGCTGGGCCCCACATGGTCCTGCATTGATCATTGTTGTCTACTCTGTACCATTTTGCTTACTTAATAATATTAGTCAACGTTTTTTGAGTACTTGTTGTAAAATAGACACTGGCCTAAATACACTTATTCCATCACCCCTTAAATACCTATTGCATAGCACCTGCGTGTCAAACACTGGGTACTAGGGACACAGCACTGAGCACAACCCTGCCTTCCTGGAGCTTGTATTTGATGCAAACAAACAAATTAGTAAGTGAGTACATACCATGGCAGATAGTGATGAGTGCTGTTGGAAAAACACGTCAGAGTAGTGGGTACATGGAATGTGCATGGGGTGTTGTTACTATGTGTGGGGTGGTCAGGAAGGACTCACATATTAGACAACATTTGAACAGAGTCTTGAAGTAGATGAGGATAGTGGTTGGAAGGGAGAGACTTCCAGGCCAAGGGGAGAGTAAGTGCAAAGGCCCTGTGGCCAGGCCATGATGGGAGTGTTCCGGGAATATCCAGGAGGCTGGGTTGACTGGAATGGAGTGAAATGAGCTGGGAGAAAGGAATAGAAGGTGAGGCCATATACAGCCTTGCTGGCTGATGGACATATGATATGCATCACATATATAATTCTACATTTGCTTGTAATCACAAAAAAGAAACAGATGAAGTTATTTTTTATTACTACATTTGTTTAACATCATAGATCAAAAATACCCCTTCGATGTGTAATCAAAGTAAAAAATTATGAGATACTTTACATTATTTTTTTCTTTCTTTTCTTTTCTTTCTTTCTTTTTTTTTTTTGAGACAGCACCTCCCTTTGTTGCCCACGCTGGAATGCAGTGGTGTGCTCTTGGCTCACTACAACCTCTGCCTCCTGGGTTCAAGCGATTCAAGTGATTCTCCTGCCTTAGTCTCCCATGTAGCTGGGTGTAGTCTACCACGTGCCACCGTGCCCAGCTAATTTTTGTATTTTTAGTAGAGACGGGGTTTTGCCATGTTGGCCAGGCTGGCCTCGAACTCCTGACCTCAGATGATCTGCCTGCCTTGGCCTCCCAAAGTGCTGGGATTATAGGCATGAGCTACCGTGCCCAGTCTACATTGTTTTTTCGTTATTACATTTTCAAAATCTGGTGTGTGTTTCAAGGCCTTGTGTGAACATGTGAAATGCCCTAGCCATATTTCAGGTTCAGCAGCCGTGTGTGGTGAGTGGACAGCATTTCAGAAAGCACAAATTGTTCTGCCACAGCAAATCAGACAGCACACATATAGAGGTGTGTAGGCCATGCTGAAGTCCCCGAATGAGCTGGGGAATCCATGGGGGGTTTTGGAGCCTAGGAGCGATGGCTCTCTGACATAGGTTCTGGAAGGTTCTCTCTGGCTGCTGTGATGAGAGAAGATTGTCATGGGGTGGGGTATGGGGGCACAGGGCAGAGCAGGAGGCTGGGAGAAGAAGGCTGTTAACAGGCACAGTGTCAGTGGCTCGGATCCAGGTGGCAGCAGTGGCGGTGGTGAGAAGTGGCTGGATTCTGGTTGTATTTTGAAGGTGTAGCTGCCAGGGTTTGGCAGTGTGTGAATGAGAGAGGAGTCAAGGAGGCGCCGGGAGTTTTGGCGCTGGCAATTGGAAGGATGCAGTTGTTTCCAGCAGGATGAGGAAGGCTGTCAGAGGTGGAGGGAAGCTCTAGGTTTTGGGGGGAAATATGAGGTTGGGTTTGGATGTGTTAAGGGTGAGATTTGGGTATTAGGCTTGCAGATGGAAGTGTTGAGTTGGCAGATAGACAGATGAGTCTGGGGCTCAGGGCAGAGCTCTTATCCAGTGGTATAAATCTGGGGGTTGGAAGCACAGTGATGGTGTTTCAGGCCATGAGATGAGCTGAGAGTCCGAGGGAGAAGATACATGTAGAGAAAAGGAGGCTGAGTCCTGGGTATGGAAGATGGGACCAGCAAAGCCGGCTGAGCAGGAGACTGTGGGGAGGTGGCAGGGAGCCCGGCAGAGAGTGGAAGGAGGCAGGAGGGAGGAATCGGCTGTGTCCAGTGCTGCCGATGGGCTGAGGGAGATGAGGCCCGTGGATTCCCGAGCATCCATCGGACAGGCGGGGCCAAATGCCCGGCTGAAGCGGGTCCAAGAGAGAATGGGAAGAGAGCAGGGGACAGCTGGTGTAGACAACTCGATTGAGGGGTTTTGCTTTAAAGGGGAGCAGAAAAATGGAGTGGTAGCTTAAGAGGGCTACGGTCACGAGGAGATCTTTTTTTAATTGAAGATGGGTGATGTGATAGCTGATGGGAATGGTCTAGAAGACAGCAAAATCATGATGTAGGGGAGAGAGAAAAAAATGAGCCGTCTCATTCTTGCTCACGAAGGCCCTGTGTGGTAGATACCAATTTGCGGACAAGGAAACTGAGGCAAAGGTTCAGCCATTTGTCCCAGGTCACATAGCCAGTAAGTATCAGGGCCAGGAGCTGAATGCCGATGGCTGACCTCTAGAACACCGCCAGCCTTGGCCATTGTGCTGTTCTGCCTCTTGGTTTGCTGGCTGGAGTTGTGAGCTTTTCCAGAGTGGGCCCTCCTCTTGCACTGTTATATCTAACATGGCACCCGGCAGAGGGCTGTGCAGAGGTAGGACCTGATCAATCTTTAATGGGCAAGTGATTAGAACACCAGGAACTGTGTGCTGGAAGTGCTCAGTCGCCTGGCCCATGTGAGAGGGATGCATGGCCTGAGCCTGCCTTACTCCGAGTGAGGCACCTTGCGTGGAGAGAGTGGTGCTCAGGAAATACTGGAAAGCATTTGTAGGGTGGATGAAGAGTGGATGAGGAGCTTACATCGAAGGTTCTCGCTGGCATAACTGCACTTCTGGGTGTGACTCGGGTTCCTGTGCTGGGCAACCTTGGGCAGGCCCCTTGCCCACACAGTGCTTCAGTTTCCTTATCTGTAAAATGACAAGGTTGGGTGAGGTGATCTCCCATCTGGCTCTCACCAGAATGCCTCAGGAGGGCATGTGTGTGCTGTCTGCACCCAGGCTGCTGACGATCCCATCATGAGCATTGTCTGACCCCAAATGCCAGTGTCCTGCTGGTGGGTGCATAGGGGCCCCCTCCATTGTATGACGCTGAGCCGGTCACTTTATTTCCCATATTTGTAAACAGGGCCATACACACCTAGTTGCTTGCCTTTTAGGCTTGTGAGGAGTTTTAAGTCTACTATTGTCCTAGATTGCCATGGTATAGCTCACCCTGCACCAGGCGCTTCCTAAGCACTCCCTCAACCTGTATATTAACTCCTTTACTCCTCACCACAGCTTTAGGAGGTAGGTCCTGTGAAATGATCCCCATTTCACAAAGGGGGAAACTGAGGCACAGAGTGGGCACATGGAAGCCTATTGAGTACTGGGAGACATCTCCCAGCAAGGGGGCAGCTGCGTCCTCCTCATGCTTGTGCGGCCTCTGACCTGCACTCTTGTTCCTCCTCCAGGGACAGGGGCAGACCCGGTGGTCAGCGCCAAGAGCAACCATTGCCTGGATGCTGCCAAGGCCTGCAACCTGAACGACAACTGCAAGAAGCTGCGCTCCTCCTACATCTCCATCTGCAACCGCGAGATCTCGCCCACCGAGCGCTGCAACCGCCGCAAGTGCCACAAGGCCCTGCGCCAGTTCTTTGACCGGGTGCCCAGCGAGTACACCTACCGCATGCTCTTCTGCTCCTGCCAAGATCAGGCGTGTGCTGAGCGCCGCCGGCAAACCATCCTGCCCAGCTGCTCCTACGAGGACAAGGAGAAGCCCAACTGCCTGGACCTGCGCGGTGTGTGCCGGACTGACCACCTGTGCCGGTGAGTGCCGCGGCAGCCCCGGGGGTGCTGGCAGGAGGGGGCTTGCATTGCTGGGCTGTGTTTTCCTTTTTCTGCATTCCTTGGGGTGCATCGAATTATGACTCTGAGTCCAGCAGAAAGGGTGTCAAAAAGGGTAAAACTGACTTGGACATGTGCAAAGTGAATTTTCCATTTCATTCATCCATGCATCCATCCATCTACTTTATTCATTCGTTCATTCATTCACTCAGAACAGGTTTATCTTTTGCTTACTCTTGGCTCAGCTGGGGAAACCAAAACGAACAACCCAAGGAGCTTGTAATTGAAAACCATAGACTCCTTGAGCCTTGGAATAAGAGACCTTTGGGTGCAGTGGCTCATGCCTGTAATCCCAGCAACTCAGAAGGCTGAGGCTGGAGGATCACTTGAGGCCAGGAGTTTGAGACCATCGTGGGCAACATAGCAAGACTCAGTCTCTACATATATATGTGTTTGTGTGTGTGTGTGTATATATAGACACATACATGTATACACACACACATATATATACTTATATATGTATATATTATATAGAGCTAAATTTCAGCTCAGTATAACCATGCATCCCTCCAAAACTACCTTCCTAATAATGAGCCTACACTTGTTAAGCACTTACTGTATTCTAGGCTCTGCGCTAAGCTTTGGACATACGTTATGTCATCTCATGTTCACAATAACCCTGTGACTTGGGTATTTTTACTCCTGTTTTATAGGTGAAGGGACAGAAGGTCAGGAAAATTTTGTAAACTTGCTCAAGGTTACACAGCTAATGAATGGTAAAGTCAGGATTCAAAGCCAGGACTGTCCGACTCCAGGACCCATTCCTCACTCTGACACTAGACTGGATCAGACCTGAATACAGAGTGAACTGGCTCTCTCTCTCTCTGTCTCTCTCACATATATATATATATATGTACACACACACACAGATACATATATACATATATGGCCTTTAGACAATTTAGTCCCACTTCTAAAGAAAGTTTCTGCCTAATAGCCCAACATATGTCACGTGGCTATCAGGAAGGGTGCTCTCATAAAGCAAAGAGGCAGCTCACTCTGTATTGAGATATAATCCAGTCTCAATGGATCATATGAGTGAGGAATGGGTCGGGGTGAGGAATGGGGCCTGGAGTCGGACAGTCCTAGCTTTGAATCCTTACTTTACCGCTCATTAGCTGTGTAATCTTGAGCAAGTTTATAAAATTTTCCTGACCTTCTGTCCCTTCACCTATGAAACAGGGATGAAAATACTCACATCACAGGGTTATTGTGAACATTAGATGACATAACGTATGTCCAAAGCTCAGCACAGAGCCTGGAATACAGTTAGTGCTTAACAAGTGTAGCCTCATTGTTAGGAAGGTAGTTTTTTTTTGGAGGGAGGTGCATGGTTATACTTAGTTGAAATTTGGCTTTATGTAATTCTCATGTTTGTCCTTTTTGTTTGCTAAGTATTTATTGAGATGCTGTTGTGTGCAGTTCTTGATCCTAAGGCCTGAGGATACAGGGGAAACAGACAAAGGGAGAGGTGATCCCAATTCAGTGGGATGAGGCTGTGGGCTCCCAGAGGAGAGAGCACAGGAGAGGGGCATCTGCCACATCCTGCGTGTCCCGGGGAGGGGAGGGGGCCTTGAGCTGAGCCTTGGGAAACAAGAAGGAGAAAGCCAGGGAAGAAGCCTGTTGGAAAAGCATGGCACGGGGTGGAAGTGGGAGAGGACCTGGGCTCTGGGGAGCTGCAGGTGTTGGGCACAGGTAGAGTGGGCCATGATGGGAGTGAGGGGGAGGCTGCTGGAGAAATGGGGATAGAAGTGGGTGCAGGTGTTTATAGATTGCCTGTTGTGTTCTAGACACTGTTCTAGAGGCGTTATGTCTCATTTAATCCTTGCAACAAAACTGAGGTAGGTACTATTATCTTTATCTGTCAATGAGGATACATCTGGCAAGTTACAGTAACTTGACGAAAGTAACTTGCTGAAGGTCACACAGCCATACATTTCAGAGTCAGATTCCAGCTAAACTGCTTCTTTCCAGTATTATTGAGTGCTCCAGACTAAGATAGTGAGTGTGGGTATGGAGAAAACTGGATTATTTCAGAGGAAATTGGGAAGTGGCCTTGATGGGACTAAGTGACTGGCTGAAAGTCACCTGGAGATAGAACCCTGGTGGCAAGAACTATTTCTGTTTTGTTTACTCCACACCCCGTCCTGCATGTAGATCCTGGCATGTGGTGAGCATTCCATAAGGTTACTTGAATGGATAAATGGATGGTGCCTACCATGTTTCCTAGTTGAGTAACTCTGGGGAGATGGAGCCATTCAGTGGGGGTGGTATTGGACATGCAGCATTTGAGGGACCTGGGGGACTATTGCCACCTTCATGGCAACACCTAGGGGGCACTTGGACTTGTGGGTTTTGATCTCAGTAATGAGGCTGGAAAGAAGAGATGGGTTTGGGAGTTATTGGGTACTTTGCTGGTGGTCAAAGCCACAGCAGTAAATGAGATGGCCTAGGAGGGGTTGCTAGAGCTCAGGAGGGAGTCTGGGCTGGAGATGCCTGAAGATTTGGGCATCCTCAGTGTTTAAGTGATAAGGCTTGGAGTGAACAGTGGAAGCAGAAATCTACTGGAAACACCAGTGCTTAAGGGAGGGGCAAAGGAAGTGGGATGTGAGACTGGAAGGGAAGGGGATTTCAGAGGGAGGAGGTGAACGAGCTGTGGTGTCTCACAGAGTGTGTATACCTGTGTATGCCTGTGTGTATGTGCATGTTTATGTGTGTTTGTGTGGTGGAAGATGGACCACAGGGGGCCCAGGCCTGGCAGGGAGGCAGAAGTAGAGGCATTGGGCACCAGCTAGCTTCTTCAGAAGGAACCAGGGCCAGGGGCTGCAGAGAGACGGGAGATGGGGAGGGAGACCCGGGGCCCTGTGCACGCTGAAGGGGAAGTGCTACTTTGTGTGGTTTGCAGAACAAGCTCTCCTGGGGTTTGGAGGAGGGCCTGATCCCAGAGCTAGCTGCAGGGCTCAGGGAAAGCTCTGTGAAGAAGGTGGGTTTTTATCTTTTGCTTACTTAAAAAAAATATATCTTACTGCCTACACAAACCAATTGAGGTGATTGAAGACGAAACTATGCATACCACAATGAGGAGGGCCAGCCTTAGAGAGGAGGAGGGAGCAGATGTGGCCACGCTGCCATTTGCCATAGTGACTGAACTTGAGCTCCGAGCTTCTTTGTTGCTGGGATAAAGGGGAGGCTTGATGGGTCACATAACCTCCAACCAGGATAGATCGGGGCATGATCTGAGACACATTCGCTGCTTCTTCTGAATGCTAAAGTGACCTTTGGGGGCTGCGCCCTACACAGCTGCATGGAATGATGGAACAGACGGGAACTGGACCTTGAAGGAACTGGAAAAGACCAGCATGAATCCAAGCCCAGGACCCAAGCATAGGAATGGGCCAGGAGCACTCAAAAGCTGGAGGACTGCAGGGAGCCTGGCGACGGGGCCTGGAATCAAGCCGCTCAGGTGTCCGAACTAGGCATCTTGGGCAGAGGAGTGACTGGGACACTGCACCCATTTTATTAGTATTGCTTTAAGGAAGGATGGATAATACGACAATGTAGTGGACAGCTCCTATGGGGTCTGCAGCCCTGAGATGGGAGAATTTGGAGCAGGGTGATTTGTGGCTTGGAGAATGTCTGTGTCTGTTTAAAGAACGTCTGTGTCTGTTTAAAGAACTAGAAGCATTTTTTCTTTTCTTTTCTTTTTTTTTTTTCTTTTTTTTCTTTTCTGGAGGTGGGGGAAGCTAGGAAACAGGAGAATCAAGTGATATACTTAACACGGTGGAACCCAAAAGGGCATTTAAATAGGACTAAGTATTGGGAGGGTCAGGACTGAGGAATCCTGGGAGCTGAGGGCTGACAGTTTTTGAAGTGTGCTGAGCCAAGCAGATGAGCTGCTTGCACTGGGAAATAAATTTAAACAATGGCGACTCCAGGGCCCACAGACAGTGCTGTGTCTGGATTATTGAATTAGGTACATGGCTCACTTTAGGAGGCCTGGGATCCTGAGTAGGAAATTCTGATTGCTCCAGGATGTGGCTGGGTGAGCTCCTGGTCTTGAAGCAGGGCATTCTTCCAATCCATCTCTCCCTATCTCCCACCAACACACCCATCTGCATGCAAATTTCAATATGGTCCTGAAGAGGTAAGGAAGGAATGAGGGCGGAACCTGCATTAGGAGGAGTCTGGCAGGAGCATGGAGAAGTGTCCTTTAGGGAAGCTTGCGCATGATGGAGAGTTGAGGTTTGGGGCAGGGTGCATTGAGACACGCATCCGGAGCCACAGAGACTGAGACGCACAGACACTGCAGGTGGTGGATGGAGGTGGCTGTGGTGGTGCCCCAGAGTCAGGGGACCTACCTTTACTCTTCACCGGCCTGGAGCCTCCTGCATGGTCCTCTGTGGGCCGTTTAACTCCTCATGCCCTGGGGGGTCTTCATCTATCAAATGAGGATCCTGAACCAGGTCATCTGTAGGCACCCCGAGGTCTTATAAGTCTATGGTTCTGATTCTGTTGAAGCAGTTTTCCTGTCTGCCTTCTCCCTCTGCTCCTGCCCTCTCCACGGGAGGTTACTTTACTGGAGAGATGAGCTGTTGGTATAAGGGGAAGTGGCCCAGCCAACCTCATCAGGGTGTATGGTGTGGAAGAAGGTATTTGAAGGGCCTGGAAGGAGAGGAGTGGCTTCTTTCCACACTCTTGCAGGCCTGACTTGCTGACCCAAGCGTTGCTTTCCCCAGAATCCACAAAAGTGCTCGGGTGTCCTATGGATGCCTGTTATCAGCATCAGAGGTGACACAGGTGGCTCAAGAGGGGCTCCTGGAGAGCAGGAAGCTGGGTCGTGGCTCTCGACTGTGCCTGGGAAGGGGTGCACTTCTTCCTTTCCCTGGTTTGACTTCCTCCAGGTTTCTGCCCTCCAGGATGGG